CACAAAAGTTTTATTCTAAAATCGGACATTATTTTCCGAACGACCTAATAGTTAAAAGTGTTCGAATTCGTTCGAAATAAAAAAATATAATGAAGGTCGGGTTCTTTTCATCGGATTCTTTTCCCAATTAAACAGGAATCTATGTCTGGCATTAATGCAGTCAGCGTCTTACCTCAGATCATGCGAGAAAAGACTGTGTGTCACTCGAGACCGTGAAGGGAACACAGTGTAGGGTTAACATGAGGTGGCATCCCAGAATCACGTGACAAGGACTAAAAGCGTGGGTACGAGCAGCATGATAGATATATATTTATGAATTGAACATGTTTCGCTTTTATGAAAGCTTCATCAGAAAATAAAATATGGAGGCACCTCCACACAAAACATCCCAAAATCGACATGTGGACAATCACAAACATAGATAGGAACAGACTGATATATACATATATATATATATATATATATATATATATATATATAGATAGATAGATAGATAGATAGATAGATAATGAACATACCAAGAGATAGATAGATAGATAGATAGATAGATAATGAACATACCGATAGATAGATAGATAGATAGATAGATAGATAGATAGATAGATAGATAGATAAGAAGCGAAGGAAAAAGATATTAAAAACTGAGAGAGGGAAGAAGAGAATTTGTCAGATAGAAGGAAACAGATATTAAATATGGAAACTTTTCCCACTCACCGCTGGGGAGTGGGAAGAGTTTGCAGCCGAGATTGCATAGGTGAACGACTCAACTAGAAAAATTGAAAATAAATACAATATATCTTAATACAGATCAGAGACATGTTATAATAGATCATTCCATCTTAAATAAATCAACACTGTTTTCCGGCAAATTTTTAACATCAACTTAAGCTTAAGATTTTGCTTGTTTAAAAGTTGAGTAATTTTAACACATTCAATATTATAGATAAAAAATAGTGAATTTTATATAGTGTTTGTTCGAGACTTAACATGAGCAAAACAAATTCACGGGTTCGAACGGGAAAAATGACCGCACAATGTCGTAACATTCCGCGAAAATTGTTCATCCTTTAATAGTCAGTTGTACTTAGTTTAATTTATAACGTATATAAATGTAGGTAGAAAAAATTTCAAATGTTGATAATATAGTGAGGGTCAGAAAGCACTGCCCCGAGCCCCCAGACAGGCTTGAAAACCCGACCCCAGTCTTCTTGGGGATAACACGCACCGGCCTTGGTTCCTTTTGCCGCTCTCGTAAGTATCTGGCGTCATTTATAAGAGACCAAAAGTGGAATTCTGCTACCATATATAGGCTGGAACTACCAAGTCCTCACTTTTTACTTTTGGAAGTTCTGAAGCGTCTACCAGGCCTTGTGCGTGATGGATTATTTTCCATTCTACAATCTCTCTCTCCCGTAAATAAAAGGCCGCAAGCTCTTCTATTGCTATTTTCAATGTGCCAACGAGCTACATTCAAATGTGCGAACGAGCTACATTCCTTAGTTCCACCAGCTTAGACCTTCACAGCTAAGACAGATCAGGCCACATACACTTGGATAAATCATCCGAATTTCCTTCATATTCCATTCGTAAGGAGTAAGTTCCACTTAGACATCATCTTTTCTAGAACTGGTACTTTATGGAAGCGACTACCGGAAGGATGCTTCGTCGATCATGACAATCTTAACCTCTTCAAGCCTAGGGTTAACCGTTATCTCATCTACATAGCCTTATACACTTCACTTCTTACCTCCCACTCTGTTATGGTAATTTATCTATGTACGCATGGACTCTCCCAGCTATAAATAGGAGCAGGTACTGCCTTTTGGAGAGAGAAGTTTCCAACAGTCGGTCCGAACATTCTTGCTTCTGTTAATATATTTGTTTAACTCAATTCCTCTCTTTGTATCTTTATTTCTGGCCCCAACAAGGACACAACACCCTCTTACGCCCATTGAATGACGTCAATATGTATCAATCTGCCTTGAATGGCTCTTGGGTATTGTGTTGCGTGAACTGTTTATAAAAAACAATCTTTAAACTTTGGTATTTCAGCCTGGCTTTTGTCTAAGCGACTACTGTCAAGGAAACGATATAGTTAATAATTTAATAAGTGTAGCTTAGATGTGGCACAAGGCCGAAAGTATGGAGCAGCGAGTGAGGAACGAACTCACTACTCAGTCGTAATTGATCGAGCGGGCGTTGCTTGTTAGCCATTACACCACGTCGAAGCGCCCAGATGTAGGTAGCGACATGACTCACAAAAACAAGGCCATGTTTTGCTATGAATTTTCCGACTTCCCAATTCTCAAATTATCTTTTCGAAAAACGGTTTTCCTCCATTATTTTCTTTCTCGTAATTCTTTATCCAAGGCGATAATTTTCGCTTATCTTTTCAAAAATAATGATATAAAATTCGGTTTTCACTAACAACTCTACACTGTCAATTTTCTGTTTTTTTTTTGTTTTTTTGCGTGCATGTCTATCTCTTCACTAACTTTTAAAACCATTTCTCTCTTTTCTTTCCAATCTTTGCTTCCTTTTCAGTTTATTTTAATCCTCCCATCCACCCATCATACATTTTATTTTATATATATATATATATATATATATATATATATATATATATATATATAATTTATGTTTTCTTCTTTTTATTTTATTACATTATATTTGTCACGTTTGCCCGGCAACTCTCTGTTGGAGTATACATACCGTTAATATAGGGAAATTTAATGGAATAAGGAAGGGGAAATTTAAGGGAAAAAAAAAATGACATCTTCATTTCTCTTCCATCTGACAACAATTTAAATCTACAAGCAGGAATTATACCACGAGCCAAAGTAAGAAAATAAATTAAACGGAGTTAGAAACAAAACTGAGCAAATTTTAAACAAAAATGAAATAAATTAAAAAACAAAACAAAACAAAAGTATTGCTTTTTTATTCCCCGTTTAACTAACAAAATTTGTCTAGTCTTCTATATTTATCTCAGTCTATAACTTGGATTGTTTAAAAGTCGTTATAACTTTCATTAACTTCCAGCCTGTCCCATTGTCCATGCAGCACAAAATCTCACGTTTCGCCATTCTTGATAAAATATATAGCTCACTCCATTTTATTTTTGGTTAGTGTCCATTTAGCTCGTTTAAGATCGCCATTTCTTTCTTTGCTAATTTATCTAAACTTCCCTTTTCTTTTCGGAGAATTTGTTAGACTTTTATAACACAAAAATCTGAACATTTATTTAATTAAAAGTCACAATAATTAGACATCTTGATTTTTTTCATTACTTTCACGATTTAAGTGTAACTAATTTTCTTTCTCGCAATCACAGTCATTTCTCAAATATCTCCGTTTATATCTGTCACAGCTTATTCATATTTGCCTAACTCTGTTTATACTGATTTATATTTCAGAGCTTACCAACATTTTACATCTATTTAATTCAGTCTCTTCATATCTATCTATCTATCTATCTATCTATCTATCTATCTATCTATATCCGTTCGTGTCTACTTCATTCTATTCTTGTCTATTTATTTAAGCATTTTAATATCTATCACCTCTTCTTATCTCTCTATTCTTTTCTTATCTATGTTTTTAATATCTATCTCCTTTTATCTATTCTCTTATCAAAGACTTAATATCTATCTCCTCCTCTTATCTTTTTCTCTTATCTATCTATCTATCTATCTATCTATCTATCAAATTCTCTCCTTACCTATCTCAGTCTTTTAATATCTATTTTCTTCTCTACTTATCTATCTATCTATCTATCTATCTATCTATCTATCAAATTCTCTCCTTACCTAGCTCAGTCTTTTAATATCTATTTCCTCATCTATCTATCTATCTATCAAATTCTCTCCTTACCTATCTCAGTCTTTTAATATCTATTTTCTTCTCTTCTTATCTATCTATCTATCTATCTATCTATCTATCTATCTATCTATCTATCTATCTATCTAAGTCTGTTCATATCCATGTTTGTGTTTACTCGCATGTCGATTTTGGGATGTTTTGTGTGAGGGTGCCTCCATATTTTATTTTCTGATGAAGCTTTCATAAAAGCGAAACATGTTCATTCATAAATGATTCCTATTTGTTCTTCATTCTATATATATATATATATATATATATATATATATATATATATATATATATATATATATATATATATGAATGATAAAAAATATAATTTTAAAGTATGCTATATTTATGGATTAAATATAGAACGTATGCAGATATAAAAAGTGGACATTGGTCAACGCGCAGCGGCGCCAATCTGCTTCACATTTAAAGGCAATCTTCTATATATATATATATATATATATATATATATATATATATATGGGCGAGTCGAAGTATTGCATTTCTGCCTGGAAAAAAAAAAAATACATTTGCTTCTCCATATTCCCATTACATCAGTTTCTCGCATCTCTTATTCTATATTTTCATGGCATCTATTTTGACCCTTTAACCGTTCAAACCTCAACCGTCACCTCTCACCTGGAAACCAAGCGAAAACGTCAATACTACTTATGAGTCGTCAATCATTCGCGCTATTGCTAAATATAGCTTTTTTTCTTTTCTCTTATTTTTTTTTAATTAAATCTTTCTCCCAGAATTCTTTCTTCACCCTTAAGCCTCCTTCCAAAACGTTTTTCACCATTCGTTTATCTATCAACACATACACACGTACATATATCCAGATCACAGTCTCTTATCCAGCTTCGAAAACAAGTTGTCGAAGGATGACGAAAGCTTAACAATTCGACAGAAAACTGTGATTCGCCTGTGAACGTTTTCCTATATGCAGCCGAGAAGCGTTTTTATAACATCGACACTGAACCGCTGCTAAAACTCCAAAACAGCCTTCATTATTCCATCACATAATCCTTCCTCGTCGGCGACCATTTCTTCTAATCTCTATCCTTATTTCAGTGACCGATGTCTCCTGATTTTCCATTTATTATCTTTCTTCATCTGTCTCTCTGTCA